TATTTGATTAGAAAAAAAATTTCTTGGCTTTAAAATTCAATCCATCCGATGAAGAATAATGTAGGAGATGCAATTTCAAACTCACCAGTGATGAAATAATGAGTATACTAGTATTAATTCAGTTACGATTAACTCTAACCACAACAAAGCAATATTATTGTCTATTAACAAACTAGTCAATTTACCAGTTCCAGAACTCTAAAATCGAACACGTATAAAGTAGGTTACGAAGAACCTAGTATTATAGACTGTCAAACTAGTAAAAAATTTACAATGATTTTAATGTAATAGCAATACTACACGATTAAGTGATTACGAGTACGAAGTTTAAAATTAATCTTTATAATCTTTACATATATTGCGTGAAAAGGGCACATTAACTACCGACGACATTGATGTGGAATGTAGAACAATATGAAGTCAAGAACTCTCTAGATATCTGAAGAAAAACTAAAATCAGATTGAGGTTTTAAAATATGTTAATCACAACAAGAAGAAGGTTTATTTAAGGATAAATAATAAATCATTTAGATCGAAAAGAATAATTATATAGTAATCAAAGTAGACATAAATTTAAAGAAACTGACTAGTAAAATTAAAAAATAAAAATTTTTGTTTTTTCTAAAAATTCTAGCGTTAACTTCAAAATTTCTTGTTGTATCAATCTTGGTCGTATTGGACACTAGGACACTTGGACATTAAAATGTAGCATCCAAATAATTATAACAATTAAGTTTGTTATATATATTATATTTCTGTTGATTTGAACACATCTCACATCATCACAAATTTTAAAAATAAGGTGAGTAGGAAATTATTTCAGAGTTGCGTGGTTAGTTGCGTACTCAATACGAGTACAACGGTTTAAATATATATATCAGATTTTTTATTATCAAAATCTATATCCACTTCTTTTTAAACTTTTTTCAAGGAGGCACCATTCTATCCATCCGTGCCAAAAGAATAGGAAAACTATACCTCAATTTTAAACCATATATAAACTTTCATATAAACTAAGTTAAGAAAGAGGTGAGTGAGATTATTAGATTATCTTACACAAATTAATTCCAAAGATTTCATTAAATTATAATAGCATTTCGATTTAAGATTCTTTCTCTATAAAATTTCTTTACACTGGATAAAAATTTCCACATATTAAAATGGAGTGAAGTTAAGGATACGTGTTGTTTCAATCATTTATTATAATATTAGAAAGACTAACTAAAACGAAAATTATTAGAACTATTATGCTTTTAACCTTATCAAAATCTATATCCACTTCTTTTTAAACTTTTTTCAAGGAGGCACCATTCTATCCATCCGTGCCAAAAGAATAGGAAAACTATACCTCAATTTTAAACCATATATAAACTTTCATATAAACTAAGTTAAGAAAGAGGTGAGTGAGATTATTAGATTATCTTACACAAATTAATTCCAAAGATTTCATTAAATTATAATAGCATTTCGATTTAAGATTCTTTCTCTATAAAATTTCTTTACACTGGATAAAAATTTCCACATATTAAAATGGAGTGAAGTTAAGGATACGTGTTGTTTCATTATACACTACTATAGATAATGATTCCTTCGACTTCGTAAATTTTTATAATACACATTTCATTTATAAAAATCTTACTATATATCCTTATCTTATGCAAGTTGCTTTGGTTAACAGTACTATATTAATGTATAATATTAATTATTTAATAAAAGACCAGGTAGGTGAAAATTCAATTAATTATTATTTATTATATATCTTTAATTCAATGAAATCGTAGACTTTTTTTGAAGAGAGTTTCTCTTTTGGTTATCAACGGATATAATGAATGATTGACTGGTGGAAGGAAGCACATACAATATTTAAAAGCAATTACAATGAAAGCATATACCTATATACATGTATATATACATGTGTGAAAATTTATAGTACAAATCTATAATGAAAGTGAGTAGTACATATATGGTATATCGAAATCTTCATATTATGCATATGATTTCTTTTGTATTCCCTAGAAATAACCCCAAAAGAATTACTTTAATTAAAACTCTCAAGTGGATCAAAGTAAATCTGTTGAAATCAATTAAGCATATCACTTAAGATATGTGTAAGAAAATATTAATATATCTGATTTGATGAAAAATTATATTATAACTTATGAATTTCAGATACCTGATGATTTTACAGGATTTATTTAAGCGATCTTTTATGGGATCATTACTTAATTTGTGTTAATTAACTAATTAATATTAGTTTCATTTGATCATGATAAAAACTTTCTGAAAAATAAATTTAAAATAGATATACGTATATTTGTCAATTGTTTTACTTTGATTTTTATAATATGGTGGTTATCCCGTATAGATTTGCATTTTTAGGTCCTGATATTGCTAATTTGAGAAGACACTTGTTTTGGATTCTGCGACACCAAAAATTGTATGCTTTTCTGATACCATGATATTTACTATATTATAGTTGTCTACTGTTTTTATAAATATTTGATTAGAAAAAAAATTTCTTGGCTTTAAAATTCAATCCATCCGATGAAGAATAATGTAGGAGATGCAATTTCAAACTCACCAGTGATGAAATAATGAGTATACTAGTATTAATTCAGTTACGATTAACTCTAACCACAACAAAGCAATATTATTGTCTATTAACAAACTAGTCAATTTACCAGTTCCAGAACTCTAAAATCGAACACGTATAAAGTAGGTTACGAAGAACCTAGTATTATAGACTGTCAAACTAGTAAAAAATTTACATTGATTTTAATGTAATAGCAATACTACACGATTAAGTGATTACGAGTATGAAGTTTAAAATAAAGCTTTATAATCTTTACATATATTGCGTGAAAAGGGCACATTAACTACTGACGACATTGATGTGGAATGTAGAACAATATGAAGTCAAGAACTCTCTAGATATCTGAAGAAAAACTAAAATCAGATTGAGGTTTTAAAATATGTTAATCACAACAAGAAGAAGGTTTATTTAAGGATAAATAATAAATCATTTAGATCGAAAAGAATAATTATATAGTAATCAAAGTAGACATAAATTTAAAGAAACTGACTAGTAAAATTAAAAAATAAAAATTTTTGTTTTTTCTAAAAATTCTAGCGTTAACTTCAAAATTTCTTGTTGTATCAATCTTGGTCGTATTGGACACTAGGACACTTGGACATTAAAATGTAGCATCCAAATAATTATAACAATTAAGTTTGTTATATATATTATATTTCTGTTGATTTGAACACATCTCACATCATCACAAATTTTAAAAATAAGGTGAGTAGGAAATTATTTCAGAGTTGCGTGGTTAGTTGCGTACTCAATACGAGTACAACGGTTTAAATATATATATCAGATTTTTTATTATCAAAATCTATATCCACTTCTTTTTAAACTTTTTTCAAGGAGGCACCATTCTATCCATCCGTGCCAAAAGAATAGGAAAACTATACCTCAATTTTAAACCATATATAAACTTTCATATAAACTAAGTTAAGAAAGAGGTGAGTGAGATTATTAGATTATCTTACACAAATTAATTCCAAAGATTTCATTAAATTATAATAGCATTTCGATTTAAGATTCTTTCTCTATAAAATTTCTTTACACTGGATAAAAATTTCCACATATTAAAATGGAGTGAAGTTAAGGATACGTGTTGTTTCATTATACACTACTATAGATAATGATTCCTTCGACTTCGTAAATTTTTATAATACACATTTCATTTATAAAAATCTTACTATATATCCTTATCTTATGCAAGTTGCTTTGGTTAACAGTACTATATTAATGTATAATATTAATTATTTAATAAAAGACCAGGTAGGTGAAAATTCAATTAATTATTATTTATTATATATCTTTAATTCAATGAAATCGTAGACTTTTTTTGAAGAGAGTTTCTCTTTTGGTTATCAACGGATATAATGAATGATTGACTGGTGGAAGGAAGCACATACAATATTTAAAAGCAATTACAATGAAAGCATATACCTATATACATGTATATATACATGTGTGAAAATTTATAGTACAAATCTATAATGAAAGTGAGTAGTACATATATGGTATATCGAAATCTTCATATTATGCATATGATTTCTTTTGTATTCCCTAGAAATAACCCCAAAAGAATTACTTTAATTAAAACTCTCAAGTGGATCAAAGTAAATCTGTTGAAATCAATTAAGCATATCACTTAAGATATGTGTAAGAAAATATTAATATATCTGATTTGATGAAAAATTATATTATAACTTATGAATTTCAGATACCTGATGATTTTACAGGATTTATTTAAGCGATCTTTTATGGGATCATTACTTAATTTGTGTTAATTAACTAATTAATATTAGTTTCATTTGATCATGATAAAAACTTTCTGAAAAATAAATTTAAAATAGATATACGTATATTTGTCAATTGTTTTACTTTGATTTTTATAATATGGTGGTTATCCCGTATAGATTTGCATTTTTAGGTCCTGATATTGCTAATTTGAGAAGACACTTGTTTTGGATTCTGCGACACCAAAAATTGTATGCTTTTCTGATACCATGATATTTACTATATTATAGTTGTCTACTGTTTTTATAAATATTTGATTAGAAAAAAAATTTCTTGGCCTTAAAATTCAATCCATCCGATGAAGAATAATGTAGGAGATGCAATTTCAAACTCACCAGTGATGAAATAATGAGTATACTAGTATTAATTCAGTTACGATTAACTCTAACCACAACAAAGCAATATTATTGTCTATTAACAAACTAGTCAATTTACCAGTTCCAGAACTCTAAAATCGAACACGTATAAAGTAGGTTACGAAGAACCTAGTATTATAGACTGTCAAACTAGTAAAAAATTTACATTGATTTTAATGTAATAGCAATACTACACGATTAAGTGATTACGAGTATGAAGTTTAAAATAAAGCTTTATAATCTTTACATATATTGCGTGAAAAGGGCACATTAACTACTGACGACATTGATGTGGAATGTAGAACAATATGAAGTCAAGAACTCTCTAGATATCTGAAGAAAAACTAAAATCAGATTGAGGTTTTAAAATATGTTAATCACAACAAGAAGAAGGTTTATTTAAGGATAAATAATAAATCATTTAGATCGAAAAGAATAATTATATAGTAATCAAAGTAGACATAAATTTAAAGAAACTGACTAGTAAAATTAAAAAATAAAAATTTTTGTTTTTTCTAAAAATTCTAGCGTTAACTTCAAAATTTCTTGTTGTATCAATCTTGGTCGTATTGGACACTAGGACACTTGGACATTAAAATGTAGCATCCAAATAATTATAACAATTAAGTTTGTTATATATATTATATTTCTGTTGATTTGAACACATCTCACATCATCACAAATTTTAAAAATAAGGTGAGTAGGAAATTATTTCAGAGTTGCGTGGTTAGTTGCGTACTCAATACGAGTACAACGGTTTAAATATATATATCAGATTTTTTATTATCAAAATCTATATCCACTTCTTTTTAAACTTTTTTCAAGGAGGCACCATTCTATCCATCCGTGCCAAAAGAATAGGAAAACTATACCTCAATTTTAAACCATATATAAACTTTCATATAAACTAAGTTAAGAAAGAGGTGAGTGAGATTATTAGATTATCTTACACAAATTAATTCCAAAGATTTCATTAAATTATAATAGCATTTCGATTTAAGATTCTTTCTCTATAAAATTTCTTTACACTGGATAAAAATTTCCACATATTAAAATGGAGTGAAGTTAAGGATACGTGTTGTTTCATTATACACTACTATAGATAATGATTCCTTCGACTTCGTAAATTTTTATAATACACATTTCATTTATAAAAATCTTACTATATATCCTTATCTTATGCAAGTTGCTTTGGTTAACAGTACTATATTAATGTATAATATTAATTATTTAATAAAAGACCAGGTAGGTGAAAATTCAATTAATTATTATTTATTATATATCTTTAATTCAATGAAATCGTAGACTTTTTTTGAAGAGAGTTTCTCTTTTGGTTATCAACGGATATAATGAATGATTGACTGGTGGAAGGAAGCACATACAATATTTAAAAGCAATTACAATGAAAGCATATACCTATATACATGTATATATACATGTGTGAAAATTTATAGTACAAATCTATAATGAAAGTGAGTAGTACATATATGGTATATCGAAATCTTCATATTATGCATATGATTTCTTTTGTATTCCCTAGAAATAACCCCAAAAGAATTACTTTAATTAAAACTCTCAAGTGGATCAAAGTAAATCTGTTGAAATCAATTAAGCATATCACTTAAGATATGTGTAAGAAAATATTAATATATCTGATTTGATGAAAAATTATATTATAACTTATGAATTTCAGATACCTGATGATTTTACAGGATTTATTTAAGCGATCTTTTATGGGATCATTACTTAATTTGTGTTAATTAACTAATTAATATTAGTTTCATTTGATCATGATAAAAACTTTCTGAAAAATAAATTTAAAATAGATATACGTATATTTGTCAATTGTTTTACTTTGATTTTTATAATATGGTGGTTATCCCGTATAGATTTGCATTTTTAGGTCCTGATATTGCTAATTTGAGAAGACACTTGTTTTGGATTCTGCGACACCAAAAATTGTATGCTTTTCTGATACCATGATATTTACTATATTATAGTTGTCTACTGTTTTTATAAATATTTGATTAGAAAAAAAATTTCTTGGCCTTAAAATTCAATCCATCCGATGAAGAATAATGTAGGAGATGCAATTTCAAACTCACCAGTGATGAAATAATGAGTATACTAGTATTAATTCAGTTACGATTAACTCTAACCACAACAAAGCAATATTATTGTCTATTAACAAACTAGTCAATTTACCAGTTCCAGAACTCTAAAATCGAACACGTATAAAGTAGGTTACGAAGAACCTAGTATTATAGACTGTCAAACTAGTAAAAAATTTACATTGATTTTAATGTAATAGCAATACTACACGATTAAGTGATTACGAGTATGAAGTTTAAAATAAAGCTTTATAATCTTTACATATATTGCGTGAAAAGGGCACATTAACTACTGACGACATTGATGTGGAATGTAGAACAATATGAAGTCAAGAACTCTCTAGATATCTGAAGAAAAACTAAAATCAGATTGAGGTTTTAAAATATGTTAATCACAACAAGAAGAAGGTTTATTTAAGGATAAATAATAAATCATTTAGATCGAAAAGAATAATTATATAGTAATCAAAGTAGACATAAATTTAAAGAAACTGACTAGTAAAATTAAAAAATAAAAATTTTTGTTTTTTCTAAAAATTCTAGCGTTAACTTCAAAATTTCTTGTTGTATCAATCTTGGTCGTATTGGACACTAGGACACTTGGACATTAAAATGTAGCATCCAAATAATTATAACAATTAAGTTTGTTATATATATTATATTTCTGTTGATTTGAACACATCTCACATCATCACAAATTTTAAAAATAAGGTGAGTAGGAAATTATTTCAGAGTTGCGTGGTTAGTTGCGTACTCAATACGAGTACAACGGTTTAAATATATATATCAGATTTTTTATTATCAAAATCTATATCCACTTCTTTTTAAACTTTTTTCAAGGAGGCACCATTCTATCCATCCGTGCCAAAAGAATAGGAAAACTATACCTCAATTTTAAACCATATATAAACTTTCATATAAACTAAGTTAAGAAAGAGGTGAGTGAGATTATTAGATTATCTTACACAAATTAATTCCAAAGATTTCATTAAATTATAATAGCATTTCGATTTAAGATTCTTTCTCTATAAAATTTCTTTACACTGGATAAAAATTTCCACATATTATTAAAATGGAGTGAAGTTAAGGATACGTGTTGTTTCATCATTTATTATAATATTAGAAAGATTAACTAAAACGAAAACTATTAGAACTATTATGCTTTTAACCTTATCAAAATCTTATATCCACTTCTTTTTAAACTTTTTTCAAGGAGGCACCATCCAATCCATCCGTGGCAAAAAAATATGTTAGGAAAACTATGTCTCAATTTTAAACCATATATAAACTTTCATATAAACTAAGTTAAGAAAGAGGTGAGTGAGATTATTAGATTATCTTACACAAATTAATTCCAAAGATTTCATTAAATTATAATAGCATTTCGATTTAAGATTCTTTCTCTATAAAATTTCTTTACACTGGATAAAAATTTCCACATATTAAAATGGAGTGAAGTTAAGGATACGTGTTGTTTCATTATACACTACTATAGATAATGATTCCTTCGACTTCGTAAATTTTTATAATACACATTTCATTTATAAAAATCTTACTATATATCCTTATCTTATGCAAGTTGCTTTGGTTAACAGTACTATATTAATGTATAATATTAATTATTTAATAAAAGACCAGGTAGGTGAAAATTCAATTAATTATTATTTATTATATATCTTTAATTCAATGAAATCGTAGACTTTTTTTGAAGAGAGTTTCTCTTTTGGTTATCAACGGATATAATGAATGATTGACTGGTGGAAGGAAGCACATACAATATTTAAAAGCAATTACAATGAAAGCATATAAAAAAATTTATAGTACAAATCTATAATGAAAGTGAGTAGTACATATATGGTATATCGAAATCTTCATATTATGCATATGATTTCTTTTGTATTCCCTAGAAATAACCCCAAAAGAATTACTTTAATTAAAACTCTCAAGTGGATCAAAGTAAATCTGTTGAAATCAATTAAGCATATCACTTAAGATATGTGTAAGAAAATATTAATATATCTGATTTGATGAAAAATTATATTATAACTTATGAATTTCAGATACCTGATGATTTTACAGGATTTATTTAAGCGATCTTTTATGGGATCATTACTTAATTTGTGTTAATTAACTAATTAATATTAGTTTCATTTGATCATGATAAAAACTTTCTGAAAAATAAATTTAAAATAGATATACGTATATTTGTCAATTGTTTTACTTTGATTTTTATAATATGGTGGTTATCCCGTATAGATTTGCATTTTTAGGTCCTGATATTGCTAATTTGAGAAGACACTTGTTTTGGATTCTGCGACACCAAAAATTGTATGCTTTTCTGATACCATGATATTTACTATATTATAGTTGTCTACTGTTTTTATAAATATTTGATTAGAAAAAAAATTTCTTGGCCTTAAAATTCAATCCATCCGATGAAGAATAATGTAGGAGATGCAATTTCAAACTCACCAGTGATGAAATAATGAGTATACTAGTATTAATTCAGTTACGATTAACTCTAACCACAACAAAGCAATATTATTGTCTATTAACAAACTAGTCAATTTACCAGTTCCAGAACTCTAAAATCGAACACGTATAAAGTAGGTTACGAAGAACCTAGTATTATAGACTGTCAAACTAGTAAAAAATTTACATTGATTTTAATGTAATAGCAATACTACACGATTAAGTGATTACGAGTATGAAGTTTAAAATAAAGCTTTATAATCTTTACATATATTGCGTGAAAAGGGCACATTAACTACTGACGACATTGATGTGGAATGTAGAACAATATGAAGTCAAGAACTCTCTAGATATCTGAAGAAAAACTCAAATCAGATTGAGGTTTTAAAATATGTTAATCACAACAAGAAGAAGGTTTAATTAAGGATAAATAATAAATCATTTAGATCGAAAAGAATAATTATATAGTAATCAAAGTAGACATAAATTTAAAGAAACTGACTAGTAAAATTAAAAAATAAAAATTTTTGTTTTTTCTAAAAATTCTAGCGTTAACTTCAAAATTTCTTGTTGTATCAATCTTGGTCGTATTGGACACTAGGACACTTGGACATTAAAATGTAGCATCCAAATAATTATAACAATTAAGTTTGTTATATATATTATATTTCTGTTGATTTGAACACATCTCACATCATCACAAATTTTAAAAATAAGGTGAGTAGGAAATTATTTCAGAGTTGCGTGGTTAGTTGCGTACTCAATACGAGTACAACGGTTTAAATATATATATCAGATTTTTTATTATCAAAATCTATATCCACTTCTTTTTAAACTTTTTTCAAGGAGGCACCATTCTATCCATCCGTGCCAAAAGAATAGGAAAACTATACCTCAATTTTAAACCATACATAAACTTTCATATAAACTAAGTTAAGAAAGAGGTGAGTGAGATTATTAGATTATCTTACACAAATTAATTCCAAAGATTTCATTAAATTATAATAGCATTTCGATTTAAGATTCTTTCTCTATAAAATTTCTTTACACTGGATAAAAATTTCCACATATTATTAAAATGGAGTGAAGTTAAGGATACGTGTTGTTTCATCATTTATTATAATATTAGAAAGATTAACTAAAACGAAAACTATTAGAACTATTATGCTTTTAACCTTATCAAAATCTTATATCCACTTCTTTTTAAACTTTTTTCAAGGAGGCACCATCCAATCCATCCGTGGCAAAAAAATATGTTAGGAAAACTATGTCTCAATTTTAAACCATATATAAACTTTCATATAAACTAAGTTAAGAAAGAGGTGAGTGAGATTATTAGATTATCTTACACAAATTAATTCCAAAGATTTCATTAAATTATAATAGCATTTCGATTTAAGATTCTTTCTCTATAAAATTTCTTTACACTGGATAAAAATTTCCACATATTAAAATGGAGTGAAGTTAAGGATACGTGTTGTTTCATTATACACTACTATAGATAATGATTCCTTCGACTTCGTAAATTTTTATAATACACATTTCATTTATAAAAATCTTACTATATATCCTTATCTTATGCAAGTTGCTTTGGTTAACAGTACTATATTAATGTATAATATTAATTATTTAATAAAAGACCAGGTAGGTGAAAATTCAATTAATTATTATTTATTATATATCTTTAATTCAATGAAATCGTAGACTTTTTTTGAAGAGAGTTTCTCTTTTGGTTATCAACGGATATAATGAATGATTGACTGGTGGAAGGAAGCACATACAATATTTAAAAGCAATTACAATGAAAGCATATACCTATATACATGTATATATACATGTGTGAAAATTTATAGTACAAATCTATAATGAAAGTGAGTAGTACATATATGGTATATCGAAATCTTCATATTATGCATATGATTTCTTTTGTATTCCCTAGAAATAACCCCAAAAGAATTACTTTAATTAAAACTCTCAAGTGGATCAAAGTAAATCTGTTGAAATCAATTAAGCATATCACTTAAGATATGTGTAAGAAAATATTAATATATCTGATTTGATGAAAAATTATATTATAACTTATGAATTTCAGATACCTGATGATTTTACAGGATTTATTTAAGCGATCTTTTATGGGATCATTACTTAATTTGTGTTAATTAACTAATTAATATTAGTTTCATTTGATCATGATAAAAACTTTCTGAAAAATAAATTTAAAATAGATATACGTATATTTGTCAATTGTTTTACTTTGATTTTTATAATATGGTGGTTATCCCGTATAGATTTGCATTTTTAGGTCCTGATATTGCTAATTTGAGAAGACACTTGTTTTGGATTCTGCGACACCAAAAATTGTATGCTTTTCTGATACCATGATATTTACTATATTATAGTTGTCTACTGTTTTTATAAATATTTGATTAGAAAAAAAATTTCTTGGCTTTAAAATTCAATCCATCCGATGAAGAATAATGTAGGAGATGCAATTTCAAACTCACCAGTGATGAAATAATGAGTATACTAGTATTAATTCAGTTACGATTAACTCTAACCACAACAAAGCAATATTATTGTCTATTAACAAACTAGTCAATTTACCAGTTCCAGAACTCTAAAATCGAACACGTATAAAGTAGGTTACGAAGAACCTAGTATTATAGACTGTCAAACTAGTAAAAAATTTACATTGATTTTAATGTAATAGCAATACTACACGATTAAGTGATTACGAGTATGAAGTTTAAAATAAAGCTTTATAATCTTTACATATATTGCGTGAAAAGGGCACATTAACTACTGACGACATTGATGTGGAATGTAGAACAATATGAAGTCAAGAACTCTCTAGATATCTGAAGAAAAACTAAAATCAGATTGAGGTTTTAAAATATGTTAATCACAACAAGAAGAAGGTTTATTTAAGGATAAATAATAAATCATTTAGATCGAAAAGAATAATTATATAGTAATCAACAGTTAGACATTAAATTTAAAGAAACTGACTAGTAAACTTAAAAAATAAAAAATTTTTGGTTTTCTAAAAATTCTAGCGTTCAACTTCAAATTTCTGTGTATCATTCTTGGTCGTATTGGACACTAGGACACTTGGACATTAAAATGTAGCATCCAAAATAATTCTTAACAATTAAGTTTGTTTATATATTATATTTCTGTTGATTTGAACACATCTCACATTTTCATCACAAAAATTTTAAAAAATAAGGTTGAGTAGGAAATTATTTTCAGAGTTCGCTGTGGTAGTTGCGCTACTCAATACGAGTACAACGGTTTAAAATTATATATATCAGATTTTTTATTATCAAAATCTATATCCACTTCTTTTTAAACTTTTTTCAAGGAGGCACCATTCTATCCATCCGTGCCAAAAGAATAGGAAAACTATACCTCAATTTTAAACCATATATAAACTTTCATATAAACTAAGTTAAGAAAGAGGTGAGTGAGATTATTAGATTATCTTACACAAATTAATTCCAAAGATTTCATTAAATTATAATAGCATTTCGATTTAAGATTCTTTCTCTATAAAATTTCTTTACACTGGATAAAAATTTCCACATATTATTAAAATGGAGTGAAGTTAAGGATACGTGTTGTTTCATCATTTATTATAATATTAGAAAGACTAACTAAAACGAAAACTATTAGAACTATTATGCTTCTAACCTTATCAAAATCTTATATCCACTTCTTTTAAACTTTTTTCAAGGAGGCACCATCCAATCCATCCGTGGCAAAAGAATATGTTAGGAAAACTATATCTCAATTTTAAACCATATATAAACTTTCATATAAACTAAGTTAAGAAAGAGGTGAGTGAGATTATTAGATTATCTTACACAAATTAATTCCAAAGATTTCATTAAATTATAATAGCATTTCGATTTAAGATTCTTTCTCTATAAAATTTCTTTACACTGGATAAAAATTTCCACATATTAAAATGGAGTGAAGTTAAGGATACGTGTTGTTTCATTATACACTACTATAGATAATGATTCCTTCGACTTCGTAAATTTTTATAATACACATTTCATTTATAAAAATCTTACTATATATCCTTATCTTATGCAAGTTGCTTTGGTTAACAGTACTATATTAATGTATAATATTAATTATTTAATAAAAGACCAGGTAGGTGAAAATTCAATTAATTATTATTTATTATATATCTTTAATTCAATGAAATCGTAGACTTTTTTGAAGAGAGTTTCTCTTTTGGTTATCAACGGATATAATGAATGATTGACTGGTGGAAGGAAGCACATACAATATTTAAAAGCAATTACAATGAAAGCATATACCTATATACATGTATATATACATGTGTGAAAATTTATAGTACAAATCTATAATGAAAGTGAGTAGTACATATATGGTATATCGAAATCTTCATATTATGCATATGATTTCTTTTGTATTCCCTAGAAATAACCCCAAAAGAATTACTTTAATTAAAACTCTCAAGTGGATCAAAGTAAATCTGTTGAAATCAATTAAGCATATCACTTAAGATATGTGTAAGAAAATATTAATATATCTGATTTGATGAAAAATTATATTATAACTTATGAATTTCAGATACCTGATGATTTTACAGGATTTATTTAAGCGATCTTTTATGGGATCATTACTTAATTTGTGTTAATTAACTAATTAATATTAGTTTCATTTGATCATGATAAAAACTTTCTGAAAAATAAATTTAAAATAGATATACGTATATTTGTCAATTGTTTCACTTTGATTTTTATAATATGGTGGTTATCCCGTATAGATTTGCATTTTTAGGTCCTGATATTGCTAATTTGAGAAGAAACTTGTTTTGGATTCTGCGACATCAAAAATTGTATGCTTTTCTGATACCATGATATTTACTATATAATAGTTGTCTACTGTGTTTGTAAATATTTAATCTGAAAGAAAGTGTTATTGCTTTAATATTCAATCTATCCGATGAAGAGTAATGTAGGAGATGCAATTTCAAACTCACCAGTGATGAAATGATGAGTATACTAGTATTAATTTAGTTACGATTAACTCTAACCACAACAAAGCAATATTATTGTCTATTAACAAACTAGTCATTTTACCAGTTCCAGAACTCTAAAATCGAACACGTATAAAATAGGTTACGAAGAACCTAGTATTATAGACTGTCAAACTAGTAAAAAATTTACATTGATTTTAATGTAATAGCAATACTACACGATTAAGTGATTACGAGTATGAAGTTTA